TAAAACAGGTGTTTAGAGGGACAAGACGCAATAAAACAGGTGTTTAGAGGGACAAGACGCAATAAAACAGGTGCTTAGAGGAACAAGACGCAATAGAACAGGTGCTTAGAGGAACAAGACGCAATAGAACAGATGCTTAGAGGGACAAGACGCAATAGAACAGGTGCTGGAGGGGACAAGACGCAATAAAACAGATGCTTAGAGGGACAAGACGCAATAGAACAGGTGCTGGAGGGGACAAGACGCAATAAAACAGATGCTTAGAGGGACAAGACGCAATATAACAGATGTTTAGAGGGACAAGACGCAATAGAACAGATGCTTAGAGGGACAAGACGCAATAGAACAAATGCATAGAGGGACAAGACGCAATAAAACAGATGCTTAGAGGGACAAGACGCAATAGAACAAGTGCATAGAGGGACAAGACGCAATAGAACAGATGCTTAGAGGGACAAGACGCAATAGAACAAGTGCATAGAGGGACAAGACGCAATAAAACAGGTGCTTAGAGGGACAAGACGCAATAGAACAAGTGCATAGAGGGACAAGACGCAATAAAACAGATGCTTAGAGGGACAAGACGCAATATAACAGATGCTTAGAGGGACAAGACGCAATAAAACAGGTGCTTAGAAGGACAAGACGCAATAAAACAGGTGCTTAGAGGGACAAGACGCAATAAAACAGATGCTTAGAGGGACAAGACGCAATAGAACAGGTGCTTAGAGGGACAAGACGCAATAAAACAGGTGCTTAGAGGGACAAGACGCAATAAAACAGATGCTTAGAGGGACAAGACGCAATAAAACAGATGCTTAGAGGGACAAGACGCAATAAAACAGATGCTTAGAGGGACAAGACGCAATAAAACAGATGCTTAGAGGGACAAGACGCAATATAACAGATGTTTAGAGGGACAAGACGCAATAGAACAGATGCTTAGAAGGACAAGACGCAATAAAACAGGTGCTTAGAGGGACAAGACGCAATAAAACAGATGCTTAGAGGGACAAGACGCAATAGAACAGATGCTTAGAGGGACAAGACGCAATAAAACAGGTGCTTAGAGGGACAAGACGCAATAAAACAGGTGCTTAGAAGGACAAGACGCAATAAAACAGGTGCTTAGAGGGACAAGACGCAATAGAACAAGTGCATAGAGGGACAAGACGCAATAAAACAGATGCTTAGAGGCTCCAGCTCACTAGTACTCATGTGAGTGCCTCACACACAGCACGTACACCTTACCTTTGACGTCCATAAGACGTACATCTTGTTCTGTATTTCCTGTCTGAAGTCGTTCATCTTATTCTATGTTTCCTGTCGACTTGGAGAATGGGAAGACCCGCTTGTCTTAACCCTACCAGCCTCGAGGCAGAAGTAAAAAAGCCTTGGGTAAATAATTTACTGTAAATTGGTGTAAAATGACCCAATTGTAAATGCACACAACTTTTACAAATAAAACGTTTGAATCAGAATTGGAAATTTTATTTATTGGAAAATTTACTTCCAAGGCATTTGATGAACGTTCATTAAAACGTGCTTAAATGATTCATCAAAAAGGCGTGACTGAGGTACAGGATCACGACGAAAGTACTCAAGATCGGAAGTTCTCAAGATCGGAAGTACTCAAGATCGGAAGGAAAGTACTCAGAAGATAGCAAGGAACGTCATTAGAAGACCGGAAGGAAAGTGCTCACAAGATAGCAAGGAACGTCTTCAGAAGACCGGAAGGAAAGTACTCAGAAGATAGCAAGGAAAATCTGGGCGCTATCAGTTGTAAGCTTGCGTGACGCAAAGGGAGGATGGGTACTGATTATCACTGAACTAGTATCTGTATTCTTTTAGGAGCAAAAACACGACTGTAATGCTACTTCTACTGTACTTTTGCTACTTCTACTGTACTTCTGCTACTTCTACTGTACTTCTGCTACTTCTACTGTACTTCTGCTACTTCTACTGTACTTCTGCTACTTCTACTGTACTTCTGCTACTTCTACTGTACTTCTGCTACTTCTACTGTACTTCTGCTACTTCTACTGTACTTCTGCTACTTCTAATGTTCTTCTGCTACTTCTAATGCACTTCTGCTACTTCTAATGTACTTCTTCTGCTACTGCTAATGTACTTCTTCTGCTACTGCTAATGTACTTCTGCTACTTCTAATGTACTTCTGCTACTTCTAATGTACTTCTGCTACTTCTAATGTACTTCTGCTACTTCTAATGTACTTCTTCTGCTACTGCTAATGTACTTCTGCTACTTCTAATGTACTTCTTCTGCTACTTCTAATGTACTTCTTCTGCTACTTCTACTGTACTTCTGCTACTTCTAAATGTACTTCTGCTTCTATAGTAATATTCGTACCGATTAATACTACTAATACACTGCTACTCTGTTATTTTTAAGGTTACGCATTTTACTATTTCTAATGCTGCTGTAATTCTATTTTTACTAATACAGCAAACGTCATTAGTTCCCCCTCTTGTGGGGTTCAGTCCCTGAGCCCATTATGTGCCTCTGTAACCCTTTCCACTACCGCCCACAAGATGGGTATGGGGTGCATGATAAATGAACTAAACTAACCCCTCCTCTTTCTGACCTAATACTACTGTATCTTCTGCTGCTGGAGAGAGAGCGAGAGAGAGAGAGAGAGAGAGAGAGAGAGAGAGAGAGAGAGAGAGAGAGAGAGAGAGAGAGAGAGAGAGAGAGAGAGAGAGAGAGAGAGAGAGAGAGAGAGAGAGAGAGAGAGAAGGAACTTTCTGACGGAAGGTTAATGAACAAATCCACAAGGGTCGTGACGAGGATTCGAACCTGCGTCCGAGAGCATCCCAGACGCGACCTTAATCGACTGAGCTACGACATGGCCAAAACCTTCACACACACACACACATTTTCTGCGTGTGTGAAGGCTAATGACTTGGGCTTATATGTAACAACGTCAAGTAACCTAATCACATAACTAATCAGGAAAGAAGGAAGCTAATCAGCTTCCTGATTAGCTTCTCGACTTCCATCGAGAAACTTAGAAAGGAACTTCACCAGATGTGACAGTTCCTTAAGACAACGATAAGGAAATAGAAGAGCTCCCCCTTATCTGAGAGAGTCACAATCTAGACAAGATTAATAAAAAGACTTTAATATGAGCTCAATAATCTTGGAGAAATGAAACGAGGTTCGAACCTTAAATGGGGTACGTGTTCCTACGTTCGGAAGCGCTCTGGGTACTCGTGGAGATGCCCAGCTGCAGGGGTATGCCAGGTGAGGGGTACCATGCCCAGCATACTGATGCTGTAGGCTCCAGGCGGATGTGACAAGAGAGAAGATTAGGTAAGGTAAATACATTAAGTCTGTACGATATTGTAGCATTTTGTAGGAATAGAAGGACAAGGAGCTGGGGTATGAGGACAAGGAGCTGGGGTATGAGGACAAGGAGCTGGGGTATGAGGACAAGGAGCTGGGATATGAGGACAAGGAGCTGGGATATGAGGACAAGGAGCTGGGGTATGAGGACAAGGAGCTGGGGTATGAGGACAAGGAGCTGGGATACGAGGACAAGGAGCTGGGATATGAGGACAAGGAGCTGGGGTATGAGGACAAGGAGCTGGGGTATGAGGACAAGGAGCTGGGGTATGAGGACAAGGAGCTGGGATACGAGGACAAGGAGCTGGGGTATGAAGACAAGGAGCTGGGATACGAGGACAAGGAGCTGGGGTACGAGGACAAGAAACTGAGATACGAGGACAAGGAGCTGGGATACGAGGACAAGGAGATGGAATATGAGGACAAGGATTTGACAGAAGACGGAAAGAAAGAATTGTGCCTAATCACTTTATGGGCCATCGAGGATCGAACGCCGATCAGCAATAAGGAAATCGTCGCGCAACCGACCAGTCCCAGTGATCAGGTCGGAGAGAAGATGACCCACCTGCCCGTGAGGTTAAAGTGAACACCTGTAACGAGCGAACACCTGTAGTGAGTACGACCTTCATTTTCTGTAAACCAGGTCTTGTACGCATTTCAATATACACGTGAAAGATGGACAGCGTCTCCATTATATACGCATATAGGGTACTGTAGTCACAATACACGCATATAGGGTACTGTAGTCACAATACACGCATTTAGGGTACTGTAGTCATAATACACGTGTATGAGAAATGGTTTTATTTGTATACATGGTCATGAAAACCATGGTGCATATATATAGCACATGACCTTAATTACACAAAGGCTCAGGGCCTTCCTTATGTGTGTATGTGTGTATGTGTGTATGTGTGTGTATGTGTGTGTATGTGTGTTCACCTAATTGTGCTTGCAGGGATTGAGCTCTGGCTCTTTGGTCCCGCCTCTCAACTGTCATTCAACTGGTGGCGTCTGTACTCACCTATTTGTGCTTGCGGGGGTTGAGCTTTGGCTCTTTGGTCCCTCTGTGTGTGTGTGTGTGTGTGTGTGTGTGTGTGTGTGTAACTTAACAAGGCTGTCATCTAACAAGTTAGGGGCCTGCAATAGTCATAATTAGCAACAAAGTGAATGCATTTCTCCCATCAGAGGCGGGAGCAGCAACACGTCCTGCAGCTAGAACGAGGGAAAATGACCTACCATCGAGGACAACCAATTGCATAGGTCTTCAAGAATAGATTGTGTAGGACCAATGGGGGTGAAGGGAGACCGCGAATAGAAATGGAACCCACATGGTATAGGTCAATAGGCCTGCAGTGCGGCTCCGAAATATATATTTTGTTGTTGCTACGAAGGTCGTGAATGTCATCAGATTGGTCCCCTTCAGGGGGGCGGTGCCCCTGTCATGGTATGACACAAAACTTGAATTTATGTTTTAAAGGGGAAAGGGATGGGTGTTTAGGGGGGTAGGTGGTGTAACGAGTGAGGGGGTAATGAGAGGGGGGGGGGGTGAAAAGGGGGTAAGGGAGGGGGGTATGTGGAGAGAAGGGGGGAGGAGGAGTTATGAATGGTGGGGGGTAGTGAGATACCAAGCCACTAGCAGCACCAACAACAGCGGTCTCGGTCAGTCAATCCCCATCCTCTGAGCCTGAAGCACACACACGCTCTCTCTCTCTTAGTGTCTCTCTCCTCCGACACAACCCCGGCCACCAGGTAACTCACTTCCATCCTTCCAAACCTGCAGGAGGAGCAGCAGCACCTCAGTAGTGTGTGTGTGTGGCGCGCGAGTAGCCTACTCCTGCAGGTCCCTGTCGACCTGCCTCTTGTTACTGAGCCTTGTCCCGGCTTCCATTGTGAAATGAGAGAGAAGTTTAATTGCGGAATTTAACCTCGCGGCCTCAGGCGGCTTCAGAGGGCCCTAGAACGCCGAAGGCAACGCACTCGTTAGTGATTATTGCGGTAAATGAATATAATAACGACTTGTTTTTGTCTATGAGAACTTGGTATTAATTTAGGTTCATTTCTGTGTTTTTTTTTAGTTTAGTTCATTTGTTATGTATCTAAAGCCGGTTTGTGAGTGGTAGTGGACCCCATACCCGGCTTGTGAGTGGTAGTGGACCCCCATACCCGGCTTGTGAGTGGTAGTGGACCCCCATACCCGGTTTGTGAGTGGTAGTGGACCCCCATACCCGGCTTGTGAGTGGTAGTGGACCCCCATACCCGGCTTGTGAGTGGTAGTGGACCCCCATACCCGGCTTGTGAGTGGTAGTGGACCCCCATACCCATCCTGTGAGTGGTAGTGGACCCCATACCCGTCTTGTGAGTGGTAGTGGACCCCATACCCGGCTTGTGAGTGGTAGTGGACCCCCATACCCGGCTTGTGAGTGGTAGTGGACCCCATACCCGGTTTGTGAGTGGTAGTGGACCCCCCATACCCGGCTTGTGAGTGGTAGTGGACCCCCATACCCGGCTTGTGAGTGGTAGTGGACCCCCATACCCGGTTTGTGAGTGGTAGTGGACCCTCCATACCCGGCTTGTGAGTGGTAGTGGACCCCCATACCCGGCTTGTGAGTGGTAGTGGACCCCATACCCGGCTTGTGAGTGGTAGTGGACCCCATACCTAACCTGTGGGCCGTGTTGGAAAGGTTACACAGGCACATAATGGGCTCAGGAACTGAATTCCTCAAATTGTTTAGCTAAGCTAGTTGCATCATTGATGAGCTAGGCAACAGAGCCATCACTGATGACCCAAAGTAGCAGCCATAGAGCGTTATACTTGGGCTAGGTTGGTGCTGGCTGAAAACGCAGCCCATTCTGCTAAAATTCAAGTACTTATAGTAACCAGGTGGATGAAAGTACCAATATGTTGAGACGAGTCACCAGAAAATTTGACTTTGGTATGGATGAATTTCAACAAAATCTGAAACTTTTTTTTTTAACCAGAAGATAAACTTCTCCTAGCAATTCTAGGCCTAATACACGCTATCTTAGGCCTAAGTACATATATGGTATTTTAGGCCTAGGAGTATTTAAGTTTTTTTCAGATTTTTTTTTTTGGCTCAACTCTATAAAATTGAGAGTAGAAAAAAATGATTTACTTGTGAACCATCACTACAATTTTGTACTTTCCACTTTTATTTTGTACTTTTCTACTTTTGTAAGTAGAAAAGTACTTTCGTGTCATGGGGATGACCGGAATATTTTATTCCTTTATCTCTAATAATAACTATATTTAAAAAGGTAAATATATTATAATAATTATTATTATTATTACCTAACCTGTTACACAGGCACATAATGTTACCTAACCTGTTACCTAACAGTAAAATAGGTACCTGGGTGTTAGTCAGCTGTCACGGGCTGCTTCCTGGGGGTGGAGGCCTGGTCGAGGACCGGGCCGCCGGGACACTAAAAAGCCCCGAAATCATCTCAAGATAACCTCAAGATATTATTATTATTAAATGACTAAACTAAATTTGCATTTACTGTAGCGACGCACAAGTGATATGAAGCTGGATACGCGTTTACGTGCCTCAGATAAAACACTGACGTTAGATAGATAAAACTATCTTCGGAAGTGACGTCACATGTCGATAAAACTGGCAGTACATTACTACACCTGTTGTGCTAATACAGCTGTAGTGCCAGTTTCCAACGCTGTATTTCCAAATACTAAAAGCTCTAATACGAGGCTCTGTGGCCGTCATACTGAACCTGTATACACCGAAGCTCTATACAGAGTAATGATACGTTCGTATGAACGAAATCATACTCAATACAGCTATATACTGCACAGTGTATAGGCTCAGTAGGCTCAGGAATCTGTACACCTGTTGATTGACGGTTGAGAGGCGGGACCAAAGAGCCAGAGCTCAACCCCCGCAAACACAACTAGGTGAGTACACTGTAGTATTAACCACTAAAAATTCTCCACTTCTCAAGACATCTCTGATACCACTTGTGAGAGATCTTAGAGACGTCCTATAGAGTGGACCTATTCTGAATTGGTCGCCGTTCAAAGATTTTTAACTTGAGAAGACTTGGAACAAGCTTAGGCACAACTAATACGTCTAATTTTGTACACAAAGGTTCCTCCAAAGAACAAATGACAAGGGACTGTGAAAAAGTAGCAGTTCACAAATATCCACGTTTTCTGTGCCTCGTTCGATAAGTTTAGGTTAGGTTAGGTTAGGTTAGCACTCTGTATTTTGCACGTTGTGGTAAATCACACTAAAGGCGAGAGTGGGCGTAAAAACGGGTTTTCTTCCTATTGGGGAGTGTTGTACATGCTGCTATGGCGGTGTGTCCACTCGCAGGATGAGTGGCGCTGCCCAATACTGTCACTATGGCGGTGTGTCCACTCACAGGATGAGTGGCGCTGCCCAATACTGTCACTATGGCGGTGTGTCCACTCACAGGATGAGTGGCGCTGCCCAATACTGTCACTATGGCGGTGTGTCCACTCACAAGATGAGTGACGCTGCCCAATACTGTCACTATGGCGGTGTGTCCACTCACAGGATGAGTGGCGCTGCCCAATACTGTCACTATGGCGGTGTGTCCACTCACAAGATGAGTGGCGCTGCCCAATAAACTCGCCCCTCGGGGCAAAATTTAAATTTAAAATAATATACCCCGTCCTCGTCTTGGGAACCCGTGACGTTGCATAGCGTGTGGCATTTGTAACTTAGCAACGATTTAGCCGTTGTAAAAACTAAAATCTGATAAAGGTTACCACCCTCACCTCCCCCCCCCACTACTGTTTTTGTCACGTTATGATAACCTGCGTTACCAATGCGGCCTACTGTGAACAGTAACGGCTCACAAATATCCGCGTTTTCTATGTGTGAGGGACTCGATAGGTTAGGGGGTGGGGTTGTTTGGGTTGGTATTCAGGTTAGGTTAGGAGGTTGGAATTCTGACGGAGTGGCAAGTCAAGTGACCGGGCCCCTGGGAGGGAGTGGGGGAAGTGGGAGGGATTGAATCATATAGGCCTCACTCCTCCTCCCCCACACCCCCCCTTTTCTTTCCCTTAAGTTCCAAGTTAGATAGCGTGCGCTGAGGAGCTGCTCGGTGCGCAGAGCCATGCGTCAAACATGTTATCAAGGTGTTATCACGCGTCAAGATCTGGGAGACTATCCTGTTATCGAGAAGGTGGGGGGGGGGGCATTTATACAATGCGTCAATCAACAAAAAATAACTAAACACCTTTATGCTAAATTACCAATTTTACCATTTGAAGTAATTATTTTTGTATGTCTATCCAATACGAGTGTAATTTATATTAAAAAAACCGTGTCTATCTTTAAATTATATATTAATACAGACCTTAAAAACAGCCTTGATATGTGTCGATGGACGAATATAAACTCTAAGTTGATCCAAGAATAAATATATATATATATATATATATATATATATATATATATATATATATATATATATATATATATATATATATATATATAAGTTTCACTGAATAGGCTGCACAAATCCCCATTGTAAACCCTTACCTTGAAACCTTATATTGAAGCCAAGCTTAGAGTCATAAAATATACCATTAATCAAGAGAACAAAAACAGAACCATTGCAGACCTGACTCACCTTGAGCGCTGACTCCATGATATCACACACAGCGTCATAGATATCAGCCACGTTAGATAACCAACGCCCAATCTGATGTTGCAAAGCCACATATAGCACCAGTTGAACGACAGGCTGCTCAACTTCAAAGCTGATTTTCAGCACAGACAGCCGGTAGGCCTACATCGTTCTTTCAGAGATCAACACTAACGACAGCCTATATATACTCACTCTTCCAACAAATCAGTAATACCGTTCAGGCCATAAAAAATGCTCATAAAAATAGGCCCTCAAGCCTATGGGGAGACCTCCCGCCCCCTCCTAACACGGAAGAAGGAAGACAGTGCTATATTTCCATAGGATATTGAATAACACGTAAAAGAAAAAAAATAATGAGCATAGTATTTGATACATTGTACTTAATCTATAAGGAGAAGAGGAAGAATTAAGAGATGGTAAGAAAAGGGAAGAACTAATGGCCTAAGGCAGAGGCGTCTCAAAAGCCTAATATATACAATACAAAAACATTATGAATGTGTTTGCTGTTGACAACATTATGAGTTGCCCGAGGTACGATATCTCACCTTGTCAAGCGAGCACCTATGGTCGCTGCGACGAACCTCATTTTCTGCGGGTTAATACCGTTATGTATATTGTTAGATTAGGCTGTATTAGCCTGGAGTGTGTTAAGACTCGGTTGGATTGGGGTTAGTCTGATGTGGGGTTAGGCTGGGCTGGGTCAGGTAAGGTTAGATAGGTTTTTTAATGCCTTTGGCGAACTATCTTTGTGTACGATGTGAACTGTCACACTCCCCATTCGTAACCTCGTACTCGAACTTGAGGCAGGTGTGAGAGGTTTTGGTGGAACTTGAAGCAGGTGTGTGTGTGTGTGTGTGTGTGTAGGGGGGAGGGGGTAGTTTTGAGCGACAAGCGGCCCTTATCATCACTAACTACGCCACTGACACAGTGAAAACACCACAACGCGACCTTCAGAGTGCTGTCTTTTTTACCTCTCCTTATCGTTTCACCCCTTGTCAGTATATCTTTATCTCTCTCTGTCTCGTATTGCCTCGCTCTCTGTCTAAATCCTTTTGATTACGTCTAATATAACTGCATCTGGGACATAGAGAATTTCGATAAAGGGAAGGGAATTATTCGGGAAAAGTACCAAGCTATTACAACTATATGAATTTCGATACAGTTCGTATATTGGCTTTGCTTATTTCTCTATGTGTATGTATATATTATATATATATATATATATATATATATATATATATATATATACATACACACAATCTTTCGTGGATATATTTTTTGAACCAGTTGACGTCTCGTATGCAAATCTGGGGTGTTGAGTATTATTAATAATAATAATCTTGCAAGTTATCCCAGCTCCTTTCAAGTTACTGCTGCACCCTTTTAGCTATTTTATCCAAACTTAGAAAACTCAGATTTTCTATTAACAAAATGTATAAACAAATCATTTGCTCCTATGGAGGCTGTGGCAGGTCGGACGGCTTAAAAGCCTCACTGAAAATGGCTTTTAAAGCACTTTAGAGGCTTGAACAATACGATAAGTTGGCAGCAGGATACGTGTGGGGGGGGGGGGGGGGTGGCGATAACTTGGCAGCAGGATGTAGAAGTTCGATTGGTTTATTAGTGAGTCGATTCGGCATATCCTGATTCACTCCACTCTCTTGCAACCCACTCGCCTGCCATGCAGTTGAAAACAAAGACTAACCCCAAAGACTCATTCATCAATGTTTACGCATAGCGTATCGGAATTCTCTCAATTCTAAATTAATCATATTAGTATTGCGTGCATGATTCGTACAGAGATTACGTGAGGACGATCAACAAAGGGGAAATGTTCATTCCATACAGCGGCCAACCCCCCCTCCACCCCCTCGTCTACAGCCAGTCCTCATCAACAAAGGCCGCAAGCTCGTTAATCCAGCCGCCAAACCTCCTGTTTTTTGAACGATAAACGGTTTACAGACGGCTCACAACCGATATTCGAACATTTCTCAAATAGTGTTTCGCTGACGACTTCTGTTCGAATTGCAACGATGTAAATGCTTCACATAACGTACTTCAAATACAAATAATCGCTCACAGAACCTAAACATCTAACCTAACCTAGGTCTAAACAGCCCGATATGCTGATACAATGTTAATTTATATTTGAGAAAATTCCTGTTTTGAACCACACACACACACACACACACACACTCACACACACACACACACACACACACACACACACACACACACACACACACACACACACACACACACACACCAGGCTACAGAGATGGTCAGAGAAATGGCTACTGGAGTTTAACACCAGTAAATGTAAAGTTATGGAAATGGGATCAGGTGACAGGAGACCAAAGGGACAGTACACAATGAAGGGGAACAGCCTACCTGTAACGATTCGAGAAAGAGACCTGGGAGTGGATGTGACACCTAATCTAACTCCTGAGGCACATATAAATAGGATAACGACAGCAGCGTACTCTACACTGGCGAAAATTAGAACTTCATTCAGAAACCTAAATGAGGAAGCTTTTAGGGCGCTTTACACTGCCTACGTGAGACCCGTCTTAGAGTATGCCGCGCCATCATGGAGCCCCCACCTGAAGAAACACATAAAGAAACTGGAGAAGGTTCAGAGGTTTGCGACGAGGCTTGTCCCAGAGCTACGAGGGATGGGATATGAAGAGCGGCTGAAGGAACTGAACCTTACGACACTAGAGAAAAGAAGGGAGAGAGGAGATATGATAGGGACATATAAAATACTCAGGGGAATTGACAAAGTGGAAATAGATCAAATGTTCACACGTAATAATAACAGAACGAGGGGACATGGGTGGAAACTGGAAACTCAGATGAGTCACAGAGATGTTAGGAAGTTTTCTTTTAGCGTGAGAGTAGTAGAAAAATGGAATGCACTTGGGGAACAGGTTGTGGAAGCAAATACTATTCATACTTTTAAAACTAGGTATGATAGGGAAATGGGACAGGAGTCATTGCTGTAAACAACCGATAGCTAGAAAGGCGGGATCCAAGAGTCAATGCTCGATCCTGCAAGCACATATAGGTGAGTACATATAGGTGAGTACACACACACACACACACGCACGCACACGCACCTTCTTAGATGACGACACCAGATATTCTTTTCCTGTACTCTCCCCAAAGTTGCAAACTTTGATCCTAAGACTTGGTAGAATTGCTTTCAAGCAATTAATACTGACAGAAAGATCTCTCTTGTTTTATATCTGTTTTGGAGTTGGGACGCCTGTGTTGGGCCGGCTTGGTGTTGGTACCCCTGCAGCAGGAGTCGTCTCTGTTGGTATCCCGGGCCGGGCTCTGTAATATGGTGGACTTCGAGTAGACTTCGAACCTCCTAATCAGCGCGCAGACTCCTGTCTCGGGGTGACACGAAGTTATGGAAGGATGGTTTACTTGGTATCCTTCTGCTTTACCTGTAAACCAGTAGTATGCTACACATGGCAGACACACACACACAGTATCAGTGCGTGTGTGTGTGTGTGTGTGATTTTAAACACGTATGAGTAGTTATTTTGTGCGTGTGCTTGGGTCATCATTTAGAAATATTGTTTTTAGATTTATTTTGCTAATGTTGCGTCGTCCTCGTCACTAACAGACCGGTATTGTGTTGCAGGATCACCTGTATGACCCACCTGGTGATGTGTGTTGAACTGTGCCTTAGTGGACGCAACACCCAGGACGCAACACCTCGCGGCAGGGGACAACCCACAGGGAAAGGTCTACGGGTAGAGAGGGACCTGCGCGTCCGAAGGGTCAACAAAGAACGGAGCTTCCAATCAACGAGGCACTTCGGGAGGACTTCTCCTCCAGACGCCTGAAGACCCCGTCCCGAGTTTCCAAGCCGCACCTGGCGATGGGGATGACCTGGTACCACATGGTGGGGGCGTGGGTGTTGGCGTGGACGGCGTTGGTTGTCGTCTCTCAGCGCAACTGGGCGGTCTCTTGGTTGGCGTTGGGGCTAATGGCCGCCCACATTGCCGACTGGGCCGTGAAGGCGGCCAAGAACGCCATGAGAAGGACGTACATCGACCCGACGGGCAAGGCTGTTTTCATTACCGGTGAGTTCAAGACGTTATCTACTCTATTTTGCCCTATTTATCCATGTCCCGTTTTCTCTTGATGTTTATGTTGGGTTTGAGAGGGAGGAGCGCTCGGGTAAGTTTAGTCCTGGAGGGAAAGAACTCATAATTTTCCAGGAAAGGTTTCTTTGTCACTCCCAGGTTATAGTAAGAACCCCATTCATTAGCATAGTCACGTAACCGGAGGTGGGTTTTAGGGAAAGCAAGAATGACGTCTTCAGTCGTGCTTGCCATTCATGGGACTCTCCATTGTCAACATCAACCGTCACAAAAAAAAACATAATAACACAAATGTTTTCAGTGGGGATGGCCATTGAAGTCGTACCAGAAATCCACACTGATGACTGAGAGTTCTCTGGGGGAGGGAATACCCAGAGAACGTTCCATCCGTCGACGACAACCTTAGCTTTGATCCTATTTATGAACGAATCGTCCCCAGAGAGCCAAAGCCCCAGCTACCCACCCACCATAGTGCGGTGACTGCGGGGTGGTGGAATATGTTCCCGAGTCGACTCACAACTCAGTCACCACTGGGAACCAAGCGACGTAACAAAACAAGGCATACCTCTCACTCCAGACTGGATATATATACCTCTAGTAGTTATATACTCGTCCCCTCTTCCTCGAAAGGGATGTGGTTATACTCCGGATAACGCCTCAATCCAAATTAGATATCCTTTCTGCTATCACACATTATATATAACACTTGGTTTTGGGGTCAATGCCTTTATACCGAGTCTAAAGTGCCAACATATTTGAAGACAACAGTATGAACCACGGTACAACAGAGGCTCAGAGGAAGACAACAGAGCCGGTGCACAAGACAAGTGTCTTTGTCTAAAGACAAGATGTCACCAAGAACACAGGAGTTGTCTTGTATGGGCCAACAGGCCCTCTGTGTTTTCCTATATTCTTACATTCTTAAAAAAATTGTTACTCTATAGGAGCTTGTAGCACCCATTGGCAAGAAAATTTAGACCTAAATTGCTTCTTTAGGTTCTTCCTAAATTGCTGAAAAGTAGGACTTATTCTTTAGGCATAAGACACAGGATAGCCACTTAATCCTTGTCGATTTGGGAAGAGGTTGGCCTTAGCATCAAATTCAGAAACCCATTGGTGAAGGTAAGACAGCTGTGGAGGCGATTATAAGGAAAATCATCTAAACTTAAAGATTCAAGCACAATAAAGATGATCCTTGGACATCAAAATACTTGGTGATTGTATTTAAACTCCTTTATTACTTTTAATCTGATATTAAATGGCTGCTAGGACGAGTTAAATGGATAGGTTCACTGACCTCCTCCTCCTATTCCAAGTCTAATTAGCTTTTTATCCCAAGATTCTCCTTCCCCCTCGGTTATTGGTGTGGTGGATCCATAGGTTTCGTCTCTGATTTATGTTAGAGGTCATGAAAAGTCAATAAGTCATTTCTCTGCTCTTGGCTTCCAACACGTATAAGACCAAGAATAAATTAAATATTTTTTTCAAGAGTAACAAAGAAACTAGCGTCACAAAAAGGCTTTTTGTAACGCATAAGTAACAAATACACTCAACAAAAACACACAGACACACGCAAGCTCAGTCACGCACACACGCAAGTACATGGCAAACGGAAGTATACACGTGTATTTCCACACCGACTACACACACACACACACACACACACAAGCAACAGGATACTACACCTTAGAACTACTTTGTTTACACAGGATGAACTTAACTCATGGACTATATCAAGAACACTATAAATATTTAGTGTTTGTTTACACTTCACACCATCCCCTTTGAAGTGGAGGGCCTCCCTGCTCGCCCCCTTTAGTGATATGTATCTATCAATCTGGTGATCTGATAGATACACTCACTATAACAGATAAGGAATGAGAGAACACTTAGCGATGATTGATCATGATATGACGGGTCAAGTGTTCGCTAGCAGGATCGAAATACTTTTATTCTTACTTTCTCTTGTGCCTCTACTTTGTCCTTCTCTGTGACCCTCCTCCTTTCCCCTTCTCTGTCCCTCTCTTTCTCCCCTTCTATACTCTCCCTTACTCTTCTGTGCACTTTTTTCCTCGTTATCTTTCCTCCCTTTCACTTTTCTACCTTCTTTCCCTTCTATATATTTCCCTTCTGTTCTCATCCTTTTCCTCCTGCTCTTCCGTTCGTTCTCTGCCCTCCTTTCCCCTTCCTTCCCTGCCCTTAGTTCCCTTCTCCGTCCTCGCTTATTACTTCATTCTCACATTTATCCTAATGCTGCTAACGAGAGGCTCGGGTCGAGCCTTGGCATTAACTGCTACGTTATTCTCCAAGTGATGCTTGATACAGTGTTCATTCATAGGGGTTTCTGGCGTCCCTCTGCAGTTCAGCAGTATTGCATCGAATGCAAACACTAACGTGGAATCGTTCACGTTTGCTGGGGACACTCATAAGACACCAAAAGGAAGACCCAGTTCTGAGCAAAATGGATACAGGTGGAAACTGAGTTGCCAAATGAACCACAGAGATATTAGAAAGAACTTTTTTAGTGTCAGAGTGGTTGACAAATGTAATGCATTAGGCAGTGATGTGGTGGAGGCTGACTCCATACACAGTTTCAAGTGTAGATATGATAGAGCCCAGTAGGCTCAGGAACCTGTAGGAACTCAGGATTCAGCCCTTCATGCTGATTCTATCTCACACTGACTCTGGCTCCTACCATGTAGGTAACTCTAAACCAACCTATGATCTGCCATGCTAATCTATTCTATCTTGGATAGTACCACATAGTAACTATATTTAGGCGTCTATTGGTAAATGACAGTTTAAAAGGTATAATCAATCGTTGATGACTGAATCAAGGGCCTCTTGGAAGTCTAGGAAAATGCAGTCAACTCAACCCCACTCACTCTCTCATCTACTGTTGCTGTCTCGTTCGTAAAATAATTCCTTCCTCTATCCTGTCATAATCCTTTGTTGCGAATGTTGTCCAGATTATCCTTCGAAGCGTTCAGGGATTAATGCCAGGAATATTTGG